AGATCTTCCAAATGTTGACCCATTTCATTAATTATTATCAAAAAATCACTTTTGTTAGTATTGCCGCTCATCTCAAAACAGTCTTTGCATATTGGGAAACTGCCAATGTCACAGTAGCAAACACAAGCTTTTCAAAATTCTCATTTTCACTTGAAAGCTCAAATTTTATGACTTGTCATAAATACGGTCAATTGTTTTCCTTAACATGACAAGAAAGTCTGCCAAATAGCCAAGACTAAATAGCTATCGTTTGGCTGTCAGTCAATCTTCCAGGTAAAAATGGGTGTTCCACAAAAAAAGCTGCTGGTTCAGCTCAAACAAATCGAAGAAGAGCTTTCTGTCAATTCAATCACAGCGCTTTGGTATGCAATAAGAATACTTTCAATTTCCATTCCACAGAATATTAAAAGGGCATGTACTCAGAGGCATCAGATTTAATGGGATTAATTTTACTGCTTTGTCAAAGACATCCCTAAATGGAACCGCAATCTTCTTTAGTGAGACTGCCTGGTGGTGAAGAACTCAAGAACTATGTGTACCCTTTGGGGCCACTGCCTCGGTTGACACAGAGGAGCCAGCAGTTTGACCCGCCATTGCTCCTACCCCATCAGTCAAATGACCGCGCAGTGAAAGAGGCGAATCACATCTCAGCGCTGCTATGAAATCTATTTTGACCTCATGGGCACCTAAAATGGTCTTGCAGACCCCCCAAGAGGCCACACTGTGAAAACCACTGTTCTACATAAATCATAAAATAAAATCACAAACAGCAGGAAATCATTCCCTTTTAAGAGTGGTTACCGGCAAGAATTTTAAAAAGGAGGGGGGAGACCCCAAGGACTGTGGTCTAATTCCCTCATGTTTCAGAGGGGGTAACTGAGAATCAGGGGGCACTGGGAGGCTAAGCGGCTTGCCCCAGGTTTTTAGGCATGTCAGACACGGGGGTCAAGAACCCATTAGCTGCTCTCTCCACCACGAGATACAGCTAATTTAACAGCACCTCTGACACAGGCAGAGCTGAGAGATCTTCAGGATCATATATGGGAGACATGTGCCTCTGAATTCCAGGGGGCAAAACGCTACTCATCCCAAATGACCATGGATAGGCTGCTGTTCACTTTTTACGTAAAAACAACAAAACTAATGAACTGACTTCCAGTTTTAGCTCCTGAACATGTAAGGAGCTTGGAAGTCATCATTCCTGCTCTTGTAAGAAGAAAACGCTGAACAAATGCAAAATCAAAGACTTGCCTTGGACTTGCCCACCAGTGAACAGACTTCACAGCGCAAACCACCACAAAGTCAGGAGAGAGAAACAAATTCAGAGAGTCACCGCTGAGATCTGCGAACCCGGAGCAGAAGCTGCTGGAGCCCTAAACTGGTAGGAACACTTCAATGGTAATTTTGGTGAGTTACCTGAGGCTGTGTGTGGACTGGTCTGACAGTGAGGGTCACAGTCTTAGGAAGCACCCCACCCCGACCCGCCACATCCTCTCCGTTTTACTTTCAGGAACCCCACCAGGTTGTCACAGTGAATAGCTAATAAAACCCCCCTCGTGGCTCTGGCAAGGGAGGAGGGTTAAGAATAATCATGTGATCTACACCCAGGACCTTCTCCATAACAAAGGCCTGTTTCTCTAAGGGTAAAGACTTCACCAGAGTCTCATCCCACCTGGAGAAAGAACGGTTCTCTGACTCCAGCATCCAGAGTCTAACTGTCTCACCAAGCTGTGTGAGGGCGGAGGAGGGGGACCGAGAAGCCCAAAGTCAAGAGGGGCGACAAGACCGAGGACGCAGGAGGGACTGAAGTCTCCAGCACCTACAGCTCCAGCAGACATGGCACGCAGCCCAGCTCCTGGCCAGGTTCACACAGAACCTGACATTTAAAGGCCTATTTACCTCCATTCCTCTTACCTGATCTATCCTGTCTGGCTTCAATAAAAAGTTACAAGACATGCTAAAAGGCAAGAAAAAAACAACAGCTGGGAGAGACAAAGCAAGCATCGGAACAGACTCAGCTATGACACAGATGTTGGAATTATCAGACAGGCAATTTAACTTATGATTGCTCTGTTAAAACTAACGAAGCTGGTAGATGGTAACAGTAAAATCTTGCCTCTCTAATGCCTTGATGAAGTAGCAGCCCTGCAGAGGTAGATTCCACACAGTGAGTATAGACGTGCAGGTCCCCGGGCAAAGGGAGGAATGGGTGACAAGCTGACCCCTCCAACAGCTTTTCACCTTGCTGCTTGTCCGAGTCTTGGATTCCACTTTGCCTTCTGAACGTTTCCTTCTTGTGCAGAAAGAGTAACAAGCCTTACAATCGAGGGATTTCCTAGGCAGGCAGCACAACATGGCACCTGTTCTGCAAATAGGCCAGCCAGTCAGACGTGGAAGCAGCCTCCTTTCAAGTGGCACTCTCCAGCAGGGAGCCATCTCGTTTTCCGCCCCCTCTACTCTGTTCTCTAAAACCCTCCTCTGATTTCCAGACCCTTGGACACAAGGAACTGCAATTACCAGAGATTTTCAGGCCTAAGGCCTTCTCCTGCAGAGGTGGCTGGCTGAAGAAAGTCCGTCCCTACCACAGGCATAATCTGTGCCTGAGAATTCAGAAGTGGGCTTTCCCCCCACACTTAAGTTCTTCTCTACTTATCTCCAAACAAAATTCCAGGCATGCAGGTCATTAAAATCCCTTCTATACCTCCTGTAAGTTTAAAAGTTCTTGCTACTCTATGCCCGAGGTTCAGCTTTCTTGTGGAATTTCTCCCTTAAAAGATTCTTCATTCTGGATTAACTCCCTCGTCCATACAGTGAGTAGGGGAGTTTACATATGGCACAGGGGAGGATAAAGGGAACAACAGTCCACCGAGCTGAAAACTACGAGGCTGGGGGAGAGTAAGAATCTAAGGGATTCACTCTATTGGGAGCAAGCCATGCCTTGCTGTTCATCCACTCTCATTTAAAATTATTTTATTTTAAAAAACATATATGGCACTTAAAATGTGCCAGGTGCTATTTTAAGCACATTACAAACATTAACTCATTTAACCCACACAACAAGCCTGTAAGACAGATATAATTATCCTAATGATCCCATGAGGACACTGGGGCAGGGCAGTTGGGTAACCTGCCCAAGGTCACAGGTGACAGGTGGCCGAGCTGGGGCTTGAACTTGGGTAGCCTAGCTCTAGTCCATGCCCTTACCTGCTGAGCAAAATATTTAACAAAAGGGGCTGAGGCAGTCACACTAATTTAACCAGGAGTCTCGAGGGAGAAATTAAAACAAAAACGAAAGCAACAACAAAAAGATACTCAGAATGTAGAAAGAGTAAGAGATACTTCACAGGCTTTTTCCAGGACAGAATCCTAACCTGAAGTTTAAGAGTAATATTCTCTCTCATAACACCAGTACCCCTCCCAGTCTATGAATGAAGACTGCTAGAAAATTTGCTGAGAGAACCAGCACTTGAAATGTCACAGCACACTTTTCGTTAGATGCGGCCTGGATCTGAAGAGTCAGAGTAAGCTGGCGAGGAAACACCACACAGGACATCCCCTGTCTCTCAGTAGGTCGTGTGTCTCAAAAACTTTCTTCAAGGGATCACCTACCAGTCAGCCCAAAACCCTGCTCCCAAGGCAGACAGATCTGTGTAGAACACGGGAGCCAACAGGCGCTTGTAGCCATCTAAATTTCAATTAATACAGATAAATTAACAACTCAGTTCCTCAGTGGCATTAAGCACATAACACGTGTACAACAGCCACACGGGGCCAGGGCTAGTAGCTACCACACTGGACAGCGCTGACAGGCCATTTCCATCGCCACACAGAGGCCAACTGGACAGCCTAAGTTGGATCCTGAGGGTGATTTCTTTTTAGGCTTTGGTCTGCAGACACACAGTGGTAACAATGCCATCTTTTCCTTTTCATAAGCACACCAAATCCCAATTACACTTCATTTGTTCCTAAGATTTCTACTCCCAAGTTCAGTTCTAAGCAGGAGAGTAGATTATTTACCGGGTCAAGTCAACGCCTTACCCCTCAGTACCCGGTACCCACGGTGTATTTGTTCTTCCATGATAACGACTGAAAGGGAAAAAGCAGGTGAGGAAAAGGGAATTCATGAAAGAGTGCAGCAGAGGGCGAAATCAAACATTTCGTTTATCGACTTGAGCCTCAGGCTGGATGTTGAGCTCTGAAGACACACCTTGACGAGCTGCGGAGGAAGCCTGACAAGGGAGGGTGGCTATATCCACACACAGACCAATATCCCTACCAGAAAAACAATGCAAACGTGCACCGCCACGCAAGGCGAGTCACACATTTCCAGGCTTTCAGAAGAAGTGCCCATACCAAAACAGGTCAGAAGTGGAAGCCACGAGGGCCGGGGACAGTAGTACCAAATCGCCCACTGATGACAAATCTCATCTTACAACTTCTGGCATCTGTAACCTGCATTACTAGGATCCCTCGCTCAGGAACAACTGCTGTTCATCTCATGTGGGGTCACATCCCGGGAAGCCAGAAAAGCAACAATAAGACGTGGAGCAACAGCTTAGCACTAAAGCACCAATTCTAGAACACTTCCACAGCTATGGAACCTAAAGTCCAACGCTCTCCTTCTAATTCTTCAATCAGAAGTCCATGAAAGCCCGAATGACTATGTGTATGACCAGTAAGAACTGTCTTGTTCTAACAGAGATCTTTGTGAATTTAACAATTTCTCCTTTCTCTGTCCCTTCCTATATTTCCGCTCTCAGCCTATCTATCCCTGTTATTTTCAGTAACACATTGAATTCATATGAAATCTTGTGATATAGAGCTTTCTTTTTATTTCAGATGAATGAAGCATGACTCATATTATTAATAACTTATTAATAAGCAGGGCTGATGGGAATCATTAGCATCTGCTCATTTTAAGTTGTAAACACATCTGAAACACCCCCCAGAAGATGAAAATTTCTTAAAAATGCAATAAGAGTAATAATTAAATTACATACTTGTGACTTCTTGTAAGAAATCCAAACACGGTCGACTACTTCCAGAAATACTTATTGAAACAGCCAATGGGGTCTGTCCTTCATAGTTCCTTGTGTTTGTGTCCGCTCCATAGTTATATAACATCCGTGCACAAAGCACATCATCCCTAAGGGCAGACAAATGCAAAGGAGTCTGTCCATCTTCTAAGCGACCCAAGTTTGTGTCTGCTCCTCTCTGAAGGAACATTCGGCAATAAGAGTGATTGCTTTTGATCACAGCATATCGCAAGAGGAAACCGTTCTGGATGTCGATGTTGGCATTGTGGTCCAGGAGGATCTTCACGCAGCTTGACCTCTCTCGGATGATGGCGAGCTGAAGGGGGGTGGTGCCTTTATCGCTGAGCGGGTCGACCTCAGCCTTGAACTCCAGTAGGAGTCGGACAAATGAGTCCCTACCATAGTGAGCAGCCACATGGAGGGGAGTCCAGCCATCATTGCTTTTGGCATTAATAATGTCACTCCTGTATTCAGATTCTAACATCAGGCGTGCAATCCGGGCCCGGCCGTGCATGGCTGCGTAATGAAGAGCAGTGAAGCCTCCGATCAAGTCCTTAACTGTCGGATCGGCTAGGGTTAAAACCAAAATGAAAACATTAGCAGACTCGAAGACAAAACAATGAATTCTACCACGGCACAGAGCATTTAAGCCCATTCCTAGGGAAAAAAAAATGTGAAATGACTGAAGATTTTAATGGACATCAGGTACTTCTTTCTCAGTTTAACTGAAGCATAGTTTTCACGGAAAATAAATTTTGGTAGAAAGTCATCAAACCTGGGTTAACAGGACAAAAATGACCTACAGAGTATTTAAAAGATAGGCAAAAATAGAGCGTTCAGATTGCCACAGCCCCTCTCTTAATTTAACTTAAATTAATTTTAATCTTAATTTAACCAACTGCTTTTGGCTACTCGGCTCTCTCATCTCTGTATTGTTTCATGTTTCTCTTCAGTTTTGAACTTTTTGTTTTCTCTTGTGCTTCTTGGTCTTAAAGAGAAGCATGTGTAGCAACATCTGCTGCTCTAAAGGACGGATGTACTGTGGTCTGGCAGGCTGTGTTGTTTTAGGGTGTATTAGGTAGAAAAAACAAAAAACAAAAAAAAAAACTTCTGTGGTCTGTAAAAATTCCAAAGCATGTAAGATATATGTTAAGTGATCTTGATAAATCATGTTTTCCTAAGATAAGAGACTCTTCTGTGGATTCTTAGTTTTATAAGAATTTTGGAGTTTCTAAGAATTAAGTAGCACGTTGTGTGAAAAATTGGGAGAAACCTCAGCCCTGTATAAATATTTTCTATAACAGTTCCAAAATGCTCTCCTAAATGGACTGATTTCTGGAAAGAAAGAGTGAAAGGAGGAAAGAGAAGCGACAATTGGCTATGTGACTCTTCATCACAAACTTTTGTCACCTGCCCCGATCTTCCCTGAAGCCAAGGGTCAGTTCTGTGTGGCTCTCATCCCACTCACCTTCCTGGGCAGTGGGGAGAAAAGGGGCAAGACAAGAAGTGCTCCCTCCTATTATGTAGGTCACGTCCTGGGGGGCCAACAATCTCTCAGGTGAAAATAAACTGGTCAGGCCTAACTACCTGTAGGATTAAAATGCTCTCTTCTTATAAAAGTCACCCTTAATTTCTGGTTTATTCATGAAAGAGAGAAATTCATGAGTGCTTTCCAAACAGAAAGCCTCCAAAGTTATAGGATTAAAACACTTCTATATTGTTTACTGAAACATTATTTAGTTCTAAACTATGTGATGACAGCTGGGTCCCTTAGAAAAATCTATGAGGCAGAAAACTCCATATAAAATATTAATAATACTATGGAGAATAAAAAATACAATTAAGAAGTAGTTGCTAACAACAACAAAAAGATACAGTACCTACACACTGTGCTACTTAAAAAGAAAAAAAAAGCAAGCAAGAATGTTTAAACAAAGCATTTTGCTGCCATCTACTGGTAAGGCACGAACTTGAGCGACAAATGTTTTCACTTTGACAGCTTATGCTGAGCCCTCAAGTCTCGGACACCCACCCTCCCTTACATATGGAGACTAAGGCATGAAATCTAAAAGAACCCCTTCTATTCGAATGAAACAATGAATCTTGCCAAGACTTCCATTTCTAATCTATACCTGACCAATCAGCTGCTTCTTTCTTAATCTGTGGGGTTTAAGAATACCTTCTTTCATTTCTCCCACCTTTGAATCCACCAGGGCTGTCTTTAAAGGTGCCAGCAAACAGTCTTACACGCATCTTATACTCGCTCCATTTGAAAGTAAGACTGAAATTATGTTACATGCAATTGCACCAGCATCTTTGGTTTTCCACTTTAGGCCTTTTTTAGGTGCTACTTGCATTTTGGTGCTATACTGAGCTGGGAAAAACAAAGATTAACAGATACAACAGGGATCTGCTTAGTCTCAGTAAAAACCATGAATACGCAGTAACCGAGGACATGCTGGAAACACAGCAGAGAGGTAGAGCTATAAATTAACAATGCATAAAAAGTGTATACTTACTGTCCTCAAGGCATTAACAAATAGGAGACAAAAGACAAATGAAGATGAAAACAACGATTAATTTAAGGATTCTTATAGCTAATGCAACAGATAAGGAAAAGATCTCATTTGTAATTAGTAACAGAAACTGCAAAACGCCTGGATATAAAGTAAGAGATGCATGAGGCACATGTGAAGACACTTCTTTGATTGAACTGAATTCACTTCATCTGTATCTGCTCAAATGTCCCTTCATCAGAAGAGCTTTCCCTGAACACTACCAGCAGTCCCAGCCACCTCATTACTTTGTCCTTTTAGCTCCCTTCTGCCTACTCGCAGGTGCAACTTATTTTAAACAAGTTATAGTATACTTTCAAGAAATCCATTTAAACCTACTGAAAATTTTTAAAGTATATATAAATAAAAGAAGTATTTCCTACCAATATGATTTTTTTCCAACTGCTTTAGTGAGGTACAATAAAATTCACCCGTTTTGAGTGTAGAGGTTGATGAACTCTGACAAACTATAGAGAGCCAGGTAACCGCCACCACAATCAACATACTCCCATCATCTCCGAAAGTTCCTTCCTGCCTCTTTACAGTCAATTCCTTGCCCAGACTGTAGGTCCCAGGCAACCACTACAGTTTTGCCCTTCTAGAATGCCATGTAAGTGAAATCATACAGTATGTAGACTTTTGTGTTTGACTGATTTCACTTAGCATGACGTTTCTGAAATTCACCCATGTTGTTGGTGTGCATATATCAAAAGTTCATTCCTTTGTATTGCTGAATAGTATTACCTAATATGTATATACATTTATTTATGGATTCACCAGCAGATAGATAACTGCGTTATTTCCAGTTTGAGGCTATTATGAATGAGGCTGCTGGGAACATTCACATACAAATCTGTATTTTTCATTTCATTTGGGTAGATACCTAGGAAAGAAGTGCTGGGCCACATGTTAAGTGTACATTTAACTTCCCAAGAAATTGCCACACTGTTTTTCTAAGTGGCTATACAATATTATGTTCTCTCACCAGCAAAAATGTATGAGAGTCACAGTTCTACATCTTCATTAATACCTGGCATCATCAATAATTTTAATTTTACTGCTCCAGAGAGTATAAAGTAGTAACTTACTGAGGTTTTAATTTATATTACCCTGATGACTAGTGATATTGGGCTTATTCATGTATTTTCTTTTGTCAAGTGTCTGTTGAAATTGCTCACTCATTTTTACTACATTGTTTTTCTCATTACTGAGTTTACAATTCAATTGTGTATATATTCTGGATACAAGTCTTTGTCAGCTACGTTTTGTAAATATTTTCTCCTGGTCTCCTGATTGCCTTTTCATTTTCCTTTTTTTGAAGAGCAAAATGTTTAAATGTTGAGGAAGTCAACTCATTTGTGTCTTTTATTGCTTGTGCTTTTTGTATCCCATTTAAGAAATCTTTCCCAATGATTTATCCCTGTGCCACGGTCGAAAACCAATTTACTATACAAGTGTGGGTCTATTTCCAAACTCTGTTCTAGTCTATTGACAGAAAAGTGTATCCATACACCAATACTGGATCGTCCTGATTACTGCAGCTTTACAGAAAGCCTCGATAGCAGGTAGTACATATCCTCAAGCCTTTTAAAAAACTGTTTTGTCCAGTAAATTTTAGAATCAACTTGTCATTTTCTTCAAACAAGCCTATGGGATTTTGATTGGAACTCCATCGACTCAAAAAATGGAAACCATCCCCAAATACTCTAAATAATATTGACTCTTCCAAACATGAACAAAGAATATCTGTTTAGGTCTTCTTTAATTTCCCTCAGCAATGTTTTGTACTTCTCAATGTAAAGGGCTTGCACATCTATCATTACATTACTAAATATTTTAAATATTTAATCTTAAATATTTTGTTTTGTTGGTATAATAACTAATTGTTTTAAAATTTCATTTTCCAATTATTAACTGCTGATATAGAGAAATAAAGCTGATTGTATACTGAGCTGTGTAAATTAACTAAATTCACATTTTTGTTCAAGCACATTTTTGTAGATTTGTTATGCTAGTCTGTATACACAATTACGTTCTCTGCTAATAAAGAGAGCTTCACTTTCTTTCCAATCCTGACAGGACTCTTACTTAAACAAGTGTTAAATAAAAATGGTAAAAGCACATACTCTTGCCTTGTTCCTGATCTCAGAGGAAAAGCATTCGGCAGTTCACCATTTACTATGATGCACATAGTAGTTTTTCCTAGGTACCTGTCCTTAGGTTTTGGAAGTTATCTTATGCTTCTGGTTTGCTGAGTCTTTATGATAAATGGGTATTTTATAGGGTCACATGCCTTTTCTGCATCTACTGAAATTATCACTTGGTATTTATACTTTTATTCCATTAATAATGTAAATTACCATGTTGATTTTCAAATCTTAAACCCTGCACTCCTGGGGTAAACAGTACTTGGCCATGATATAATATTCTTTTTTTGTACACTGATGGATTAGATTTGCTGGTATTTTGTCAAGGATTTTTGTATCTATCATCACGAAGGATACTGGTATGTAGTTTTCATTTCTTTCAATGTCTATTTGGTTTTGTATCAGGGCACTGCAAGCCTTACGCAGTTACACAACCAAAGAGTTTGGGTAGTGCTGTTACTGTTTATTCTTTCAACATTTGAAATAATACAAGAGAGAAGGCAGCTGGGCCTAAAGTTTTCTTCGTGAGAAGTTTTAATCATGAACTAAATTTCTTTGATATAGGGCTGTTCAATTGTTTTATTTCTCCTTGGGTCAGTCTGGGCAATTTGTGACTTTCCAGAAATTGGTCCATTTCTTCTAAACGGCAAAAAGGTGTTCGTTATATTCCTATTACCCTTTTAATGTCTACAGGATCTGTAAAACAGTTTTCCCATGCTTACTACTGGTTATGTGTTTTTTCTCTTGCTTTCTTTATCAGTCTGGCTGGAGATTTATCAATTTTGTTGATCTTTTAAAAGAGTCAATTTTTGCTTTTTTTGTTTTATCAATTTTCTCCTTCATTTGCCCATTTTCAATCCCACTGATT